TACAGTGAGTTGAAAACAGGAAGGCAGGGAATGTTATGTAGCAGAAATCATGGCTTAGATCTTATATTTGTACCATAATAGACGGGGCACACTAGATAATAAGGGCTGTTATTTACCTAGAGACAATTAGAGTGGGATGTAAAAAGCATACCACAGTGATGGGTACAAACTGCAGTGAACCAGACAGCTGAGGTCAGCTGTGTTTCTTCACATTCTGGGATTCATCAGAAAATATTTTCCTGATGTTGAATAAAGTTTGACACTTGAATATCCCTAAAATTATTCACAAAATATTCAGCCTCATAAATGTCAAATATACATGTAGCCATTCCTGTCTGATGTTTGTACATTAAACAAGAAGTGACAGCATGTTTGTTCAGCTTAGAGATAAAGACTGAAAGCAGGGGAACACAGCCTGGCTTTGTTGGAAGCTAACATAGCTAGCTCCAAAGCTAGGCAGTTAATACATTACAGCTCCGTGGTTTAACTGATACAAAAATGAAGTGTGTAAACAACATGTAGTGATGGAAGAAGTATTCAGATTGTTTACTTAAGTAAAAGTAACAATACCTACTCTGTTACAAGTAAAAGTCCTGCATTCAAAATGTTACTTAAGTACAAGTAAAAAAAGTAATAACATCAAAATATACCTAAAGCAGTAAAAGTATTCATTACGCAGAATAGCAGAGTTCGCATTAATGTATATTAAATTATTGGATTACAAATTGGAAATCAAATAGGTTTATTTCTTTTTAACCATGTATTTCTGTAATGAAGGTGTGTTTCTCTGGTGATCAAGGTGCCAGGTACATGTACAGTAACACAATATAACATTAAAACATAAATAAACACAGCTAACTTTAAGAACAATACAGATAATTGTTGATGCATTATTTTGGACATCACATTTAATGTTGTAGCTGGTAAAGGTGGAGCTAATTTTAATTCCATTATATGCTTGTAATTTGAAGGTCATTTGTTATATGCACAGTTAGGAAAACATGTTTCCTTGTACAATGAAATTCTTATTTTGCCATCCACATGAATGCCACACAATGCAAGTGAAATATAAAGTAGATGAGCAGTAACAAATCTAGATAGGCTGTAACACAAATCTAAGACGCTTTAAAGCAGCAAGTGAAAGAAGCACAATAAAAATACAACAAGAATACAATATAATGCAGAGAGAATATATGTTACGTGGGAGCTGTGGAGTGTAAACTCAGCAGTGAGTGTGCAATTATGCATGTGCAAAATTTGAAGTACTTTATATAGTCCTGTGTAGCTTGTGAATTTCCTACCAGGGTTCAATAAAGTCTTATAATTTTACTGTATTTAGTTTTATTAATCTCAACTAGTAGCTAAAGTTCTCAAATAAAAGTAGTAAGTGCAAAGTACAGTATTTTTCTTTGAAATGTTGTGAAGTATGATGTAGCAGAAAATGCCTCAAAATTGCCCCTAAGTACTGTGCTTCAGTAAAAGTATTTATTTACTTTCCACCTCAGTGTGTGGTTTCACACGGGGTATTCTGTGTCAGCCACAGTGGAGCAAGCAGTGATTCCAGTGTTTCCCATTTGTATACTAAGCTAATGCCACTAGCTGCTGACTGTAGCTTTATATTTATTGACACGAGTAGGACTAGTTCTCTGACTCTAAGCAAGAAAACCAATAAGTGTATTTCCCCCCAAAATCGACCTTTTCCTTTAAGTTACTTTCAGTACAGGAGTGGATTCAATCAGTGGAAACTCCCTGAGGAGTCCAATGTTCCCGTTTACTATCTAATGAGTTGGCCACTCACTGCAGGCAATCTAAGCCCTGCAGTAGCTAAGCATTGTAGAAGAGCCCAGCAGACAAAGGCTTTTAGGACACTACACTGGTAGAGGCTCACATTAAACTACTTAAAATTACAAGGACTTTGGTAGCAGAAGAGCCTCTGTGCAGTGAGCTAAAAGCCACTTATGCAGATTTTAGACAATGTGTTAGGAGAGGATGATGCACAGGCAGGTGGCTTTGTTTTTAACATTGTGCTGCAGTGGTTTGGACTTCCTACGGTGAGTGTTTTGCATGAATTGTGATCTTCTCTTCTCCCCTTTACAGAGTAGCTTTTAGTATCTGAATGTATAGGCACAGGAAATTTTGCACAAAGGCAACCACTGATTGACATGTTACACATAAAGGAAATAGAGATACTATTTTAATGTTTATAAGTACTCTAAATGTGTATTTGTACAATGTATAGCAAGGAAGAAGATGGTACAGATATCAGTCTTCCATGAAACGAGTATTAAATTTAAACCTCATCAATAACTTCATATGCATGTCCTCCTCCTCCCCCTCCTCCAGCTCCACACACATCAGCTTCAGCTTTGTGCAGTTCCCAGGTGGGTTGCTCTTGGTTCAGCTGGCAATATTTTCTTGGAGGCTTGGACTGAGCCACAGAGTATGTTAGTCATTAATATGGCTGTCAGCAGGAGACATGCTAGTGTCTCCCCATCACCCCTACTGTCCTTTTGTTAGGGCAACGTACCGGAAATGAGCCCCAGGACCATTTTTGCTCAATAATAGTTTTTATACATAGGTTATAAATGATAAGTAACAGTGCTAACATGAGTCACAACTGTGAATGGACCCTTTTACAGAGTCACAGTGACTACTTTCTATCCAGCACCAGCAGGACTGATGTTGCCAAACGGTCACAGGTGCCGGATGTGAGGCCACAGCAGTGTGTTTGGCTCATCTCAAAGACAGCTTTGATTTCACTTCCTGAGGCAGGTGCTGGGAGGTTTCCTGTTTCTCTTGGCCAATAAAGGATGCTTCTTGTCTTCATTTGCAGGCTAGTTTGGCCTGCATATCCCTTTGACTTCTGGGAGTTCACATCTAAATAACTGGTGAAAAGG